GTCCGTAAATCTTCCCACTCGCAGAAGTAACTGCACTTCCCATGATTATAGTTAATTTAAAACTTTCCCGTTAACCGATTAGATCGACGGAGCCGCCTCCTAACTGCGAGCTCAATCAATCATTCGCCCGTCGGATAGAAATTGTAATTGAAATAGTGACGTCCTGTAAGTGTCGGACCATCGTCGACTGATCCGGGCAAAATTAAAACAATCCTAGTCGCAAAGATGAACACCATATAGTGAAAGATTTAGGTAAATAAAATAAGTTGCTTAAATATGGACATTCTTATGAATGTATCAGTGTACCGGGTGATAATGAGGTGCTTTGCTAAACATTGATTACGGGTTCTCAGTCACAAATTAATAAAAAATGTTCTTATAAACGTGTATGTGGATATGGAAATCTGGAATTACTTTACTTTCGAGATATAAGATGCTGACATAAAATTATCATAGCTTTTTTAAATATCTCTGAAGATGCTTGTAGTAGATTGATGAAACTTGAGCTAGTGACTAATTATAGATAAAAAATCCTTTCGATGTCACTGAATATTTTTAAAATTGAATAAGCGATTTTAATTTTGGTTGACATTTGTAAGAAAAAGGATATGTTCCTTTTATTTGGAAAATAAGCCATTTCTCAGTTATTATTTTTAATTTGAAATAAGTCTACGACATACTTCAATGAATAGTCGCAAATAACTTCAGTACCTACCACCACCTACTTCGTGTCGTAAAAAGAATTATAGAAATTTGTCGCTGGAAGAAACCATTGTAGGAACTTTTAATTTTCTGAAGGATAGTAACCCTCTAAAAATTAAAATTTTTACGCCTATGAATTTTTGTTTATTTCTGATTTTTAGTTACATTATATTTAAAATTGTATTTTTTACAAGATGTCTATATTTTTTTTGAAAAGAGTTGTTTTCAATTTATGTCGCAGATCTATTTTGAATTTTGAAAAATATTAATTTAGAAATCAAAAAAACGACAAATGTTCTATTTTAAAAAATACAAAAGTTTGGTTTATATCTTTGAAGTGCAACCGTCAGTTATTTTTCTAGAAGTATATTTATTTGAATTTACAAAAAAAATTCCTAAAACTGTAGTATTTTCCATATTGTTCTACATGAAAGTGCGAAAAAGGAAGCAGAATGTTACGTAACTGATCCTTTATAATACTTTTTCCAATAAATACACTGTTACATAAAAAATTATTTGATAGGTCAGAAATAAAATTTTCTACTAACCACTATAATGTTCTAAATTTCAATAAATTATCTCTTCCGGTTTCAGCTAGGTGTGTAAAGAAAATAATAATTATTATTTTTATTTTTAACTTAAATTTAACACCCTGTAACCCGGAACTAGACCATTCAGGACATACATTCATAGCAACCATTTTCTTAGAACCAACTCGTTTTATTATCCGAACGTACTATTCTACAGGAAAATGCGGGAAAATGTGGGAAATCTCTCGCGTGTAGATAGAATATGAAATAATAAGTTCCTATAAAATTTTTTCGTACCTACGGAGATATGTGTCCTTGAACGACGCCGCTGGAAATCAGTTTTTCTTGAATAACTTTTGACGTACTTAATATAATTTAATAAAAATGTTATGTGATGGACACTAGTAAGGACCTCTTAAAATAGTGTCCTTGAAACATATTTAGCTTTTTTAGTTTAGCAGGGACGGGCTAAGCTTTACAACTTAATACTTACTTTTTTAACACCCTGTATGATAAAGACTTTAAAATAATAAATCTGGGTAGCTTTAACCTTAGACTAAAAAAGGTACTCTTATTTATTGTCGATAAAATTAACGTTTACGAGAAAAAGAATAATAAACGAATTTATGTTTTATTTTTAATAAAAAGGGCCATGATTTCTTTTTTTATTTCTCGACAACAAAGTGCGATATGAAAGTCATTAAAACAACAGGAAAGTTTAATTTTAAGATGTTTAATACGAAAAAATACAAAATTTAAAAAACGCAGTGGTGTTCCAGAATTTAGCGAAATTATTGAAAAACTTCATAACACACACTTGCGGGCACGACGAATTGAGGACTGCTATACCCGCTTCAATAACCCATTGTTCCTTATCACATCACAATGAAACGTGAATCTCTTGTCGAAGTTCCTCCCTTGTGTCGACCTGAGTGGAATACACCAATTGTTTCAGGTGTCCCCACAGGTTAAAATTCAGAGGCGTTAGGTCGGGAGAGCGAGGAGGCCAAGCAATAGGTCCTCCTCTACCTATCCAACGGTTTGGATAGACGTTATTCAGGTGCTCCCGCATACCAACGCTGAAATGAATTGGTGCCCCATCGTGCATGAAGTACATGTTTCGGCGGGTTTCAATTGGTAAGTGTTCTATTAAGTCTTGAAAAGCGTTCTGAAGGAACTCCAAATAAAGTTGTACATTCAATCGTTCCGGCAATACGAATGGTTCAATAAAAAAATTGCCAATGATTCCTGCCAAGATGTTAATTGATTGGAACTGATGTTGATGATGCGAAACAATAGTGGCATGAGGATTTTCATCAGTCCATACATGTGTGTTGTGTAAATTGGTGATACCATTTTTGGTAAACCTTGCTTCATCCGTGAAAAGAATAGTGCCAATGAAGTTTACATTATTTCGTTGATGATCTAATAGCCAGTTTGTAAACTGCATTCTACGAGGAAAATCTTCTGGAATCCGTTCATGTATTTTTTACAAATGGTATGGATATAATAGCTGTTCTTGAAGAACATGTACTATTGTTTTCAATGTATTAAACTGTGCTGATAATTTTCGAATGTTCGTTGATGGAGTATCTTCTACAGCAATTAAAATATTTTTCTCTAATTGCGGCGTACGTACGGTTCTTCTCAGACCAGCATCAGTACTATTTCTTTCTAAATTTTCCTACAAATAAAAAGAAAGTCAATAATATGCATTATTAACTGGAATCGCCCACCATTCTCCCTTAGACATTGGTCAACTCGTTGAAATGTCTTCTAGTTTGGCAGGGCAAGATTAGGAAATCTGTCGTGATATAACCTTCTGGCTTGTAAAGCATTGAAAGACGCAAGACCAGTGGCGGCTCGTGAAGGAGGACTCTGGGACTCCGCCCCCCCCCAGATATTTTCAAACTATAAACTTAAAATAATGTAGGTATTTATTTAAATCAATAAGAAATCTAAATAGCATGCATTCTATATCTCTTGGATGTTAGGTTGGTTGCATAAAGTGCATGTACTCCGTGAACGTAGCTCAGATTAATGCCATCTGCCATCTATGATCGTATCAAAGAGTTATGTTTAACCGCGCGCGCAATTTCCACTCCATCGCGGACCGTGAAATCTGAGTACATCGTGCAAGCATATTTTTACATATGATTGGACAAATTGGCACGTGGAGGGGATAGGCAACGATAGGCTCGCGCGCTCGCGCACTTTGTTTTGGGACTCCATGAGGCAGTAACCCGTATCACTGAAGTGTGGTTATATGTGTTTTGTTTTTGCTTTGGCGCTTTTTAAGACATTATATTTTATAAGTTTAAGTTTAAAATGAGGGTTTGTGAAATAAAAAAACTTGTTATTAGTAATTTAAGTTTAGAGGAAAAAGTCGAATTGAAAAATAACGGACGTCCAACGCCAGTGTTGAATTTAGTTGAGGTGCAGAAAGAGTGCAAAAAGTGGGCCTGCTTTCGCAAATTTGATAAAAACATTTATGATAAGACCCTGTGGTTGTGTGGTTGTGACCAAACAAATAGATTTTTTTGTTTTGTATGTTTATTGTTTGGAGGAGGCGAAGAAAACTGGACGAAAACTGGAGTTTCTGACTTGAAACATTTATAAATTAAAATTAAGAAACATGAAAATTCTCCTAAACACAAAAATAAGTTGGTGAGTTTTTTACTTTTAGGAACAGTAAATATTGCTTCTTGTTTAAATAGTGCTTATGCAGTACAAATAAATAGTAAATAGTCATAACGAAACAGTTAAGAAAAATCGATTGCTTGTTTCAAAAATTTTAAATATTTTAAAACTATGTGGTACATGTAACCTTTCTCTTCGTGGACATAATAAAAAAAGTGACTCGGTAAACAAAGGGGTATTTTTAGAACTGATAGACTATAGTGCAAAAATTAATCCCGTTTTAGCTAAACTATACAGGATGAACTATTACAGTAATCTACATAATTATATCCTAACTGGGTTGATTGATCGATTATCCACTTCAGCCCCCACACGTTGGAATTTTACTTCTCGCATTGTGTCTAATTGTAAGTACTGTACCTACACAGTGACAGTATTCATTTTGGGATACTTGCAAAACACAATGACCTTCAAATTCCTTGAAATTTTTCGAATTAATTCACAATTAAATTCACCACGAAATCCAAAAATCGGTAAATTAATAACGAAGTATGGGATCAATGTATTAGCGATGTCACTGTGTTGTCGAGAAAAAAATTGAAATCATGGTCCTTTTTATTAAAAATAAAACATGAATTCGTTTATTATCCTTTTTCTCGTAAACGGTTCATTTTATCGTCAATAAACAAGAGTACCTTTTTTTAGTCTAAGGTTGAAGCTACCCAGATTTATTATCTTAAAGTCTTTATCATACAGGATGTTAAAAATTTAGGCATTAAGTTGTAAAGCTTAGCCCGCCCCTGGTAAACTAAAAAAGTTAACTATGTTTCAAGGACACTATTTTAAGAGGTCCTTACTGGTGTGCATCACATAAAATTTTTATTAAATTATATCAAGTACTTTAAAAGTTATTCAAGAAAAATTGATCTCCAGCGGCGTCCTTTAGTGACACATATCCCCGTAGGGAGGGACTGTACGAAAAAATTTTATAGGAACTTGTCATCTTATTTTCTCATGTTCTATCTGCATCCGAGAGATTTCTCACATTTTCCCGAACACCCTGTATAAAGAACAGACTAGTTGTCAAAGCATGATTTTCATAGACATGCCGATCAAAACTGTACTCACCTCGCTGTCGTTGCTGTGCAGCTTGAGCACGTAGCCGGGCAGCAGGTCCCGCCTGGCGTTGACGTCCTCGAGGGCAAGGTTGGCGGCCGGCATACAGGCCTGGCCGCCCTGCCAGCCGCCCTCACCCGCGATGGGGAAGATGCCGCCGATGTGCAGCACATTGCCGTCTCCATCACTTACGGACACGCAGATGCAACCGAGAAATAATATTATTGCCGCGTCGTACCATCGTGGACGCCAGTACTGTAAATAAAACTCGGCATCAGCGTAATAAAACGACTTGAGGTATGGGAACAAAAAACAATTTAAATATTTATTTGAATTTTATACGTTTACGGTCATCCATTAAGTTTGCGGGCTCATGTCACGCGTTTGTAACATAAAAAGTGGAAAAAATTTTTACGGCGACAGATATGGCTGTAAAATATATCATAGCTAGACTATTCGTTCTTCAATAAATACATAAACTGAATATAGGTAGAAAGGTTTTGTAACGAATGGGCCGTATTGTAATGTAATGTTATCTCAGTCGAATTAGATCATAAACCCTGGAAATTTGAAAAAATGATTAGTAGACATTTTATTGCACTTTATGAAGGCCCAAGTAGCACAAATAAGTTTATAATAGCTTTAAGAATATCTATATAACCACTCTCCCACAGGTAAAAGCTCTATTAAAAGATGATGAGAACAGTTATTCAGTTATTCAGCATTTATAAATCCAAAATAGGCGCAACTTATAAAACCATTTTATAAAAGCTGTGCATACAATACTTANTCAAAAGAAAAGTTTTTTTTTAATTAGGCAACAAATAGTAAAGTAGAATGTAAGTATGATGGGTAGATGGTACGGCCAATAGACATTGTAAGTGCTTTCTTGTATTTTAAAATGTTCTGAAAGAAACTCTGAAGGTTTTGAATGATAAAACACTTTCAACTAATAGCACTGTTAGTAGAGTACAAATGTACGAAGTACTGTCACAAAGTCACAAGTTAGCATAATCATATATGGGCAAATCAGCCGCTTATGGGTCACAAACAACGAATACATTCTAGATGAGATGTGAATGGATGACTAAAGATGAAATCATTATCAGTTAGTGTTAATTGTATTTAATAATTAATTAAATTATTATAATCAGTAAACAGTGTTACAGTATTTAATGTTGTTGTTTGCAGCACAAAATAATTTTGCAGTGACTGTAAAAGCAACGACGTATCGTATAAACAAACCACACTTTCAGCGATTTTAATGAAACTCGGCAGGTTTGTTTGAAATAATAAAGAGCTTATTTGAATGTAATACGATTAAAATTAATAATTCCAGTGTTTTCCTGAAAAACCTGTCAGCTCACTTTTTCGAATATCGCTTGATTTTCGATATAAAAATTACTGCATGTCCCCGATTAAATCAAAATATCCCATGAAAGTTATCAAAATATGTATTACGTTAAAAATACATAAAAACAAATTGTAACGGCATTTACTTATTACTACAAACAAACCTTCTGATTCACTGATTTTTAGGTTAGGGACAATCTCTCCATATATATTTTTATGTCTTTGAAAGCTTTACTATATAGTTGTTTTATAAGTACAATATATATATTGCTCTATCTCTGAAAAATAGCTTTTTAGTTGAGAAGAAACTGTTTAACTATTCTGCTTACAGCTGTAATAAAACCCTTTTGTACCTAGATTCTTTTTTAAAGTTCGTTGTGATATTGTTTACCTTAAAAAGCTAAAATAATTTATAATTTAGTCATATAGTCTATTTAAATGATAATATTATAGAACATTAATAGTGCAATCAATATATTATATTAAAGCTTTACCAATTGACCAATATGTGCTTATATAACATTATAACAAACAAGGAAGCAGCTATTACCCTTTAAACTTTTATAGAAGTTTGTCGTATAGAAGAAATTGTCGTATAATTTTAGTATTAGAATGTTCTAATAGCTTTTTTATATACCAAAATTGCTATAGGAGCAAATTAACACCTTATTAAGGCATCAAAAATCTAAAAAGATAAATTTGCTGCATACATAGTTAGGGGGTATGTAGAATGATAATATCAAAAAATTAACTCGAAAGAAGTGACGTTAAGTTCTCAAATTCCAAATAGGTGGTAAAATTACGTGTTTTTACACTTTTTTACTGCCCATGAAAATCTATCCGACCTATCAGAAAATTAGTAATAACTAATTGTGTTGTAGGCAATGTATTTGTTAACTTAAGGTCGAACGCGGAAAAATCAATTTTCGAAAATTGCGCGTTATCATTGCAAAAAGCAATGGGTGTTGATGAAATTTATGAAAAAGACGGTCAATCCAATGATCAACAGGTGTACTAAAGGCCGATTCGATTGACCGTGAATATGTTTCGAAGAAGAAAAATTTCAAAAAGTTGAAATTAAGTTGTCCTTTATATCTAACTAAGTAGGACGTGCAAAACAGCGTTATAAATAAATTGTCTCAGAGTCATGCAAAAGCCGCTCGGGAATTCACTCTTTTTACTTGGAGCTTTATGGTAATAAAAAGAGAAGTTACCTACGCCTCTTCGTTCCCAATATAACTTTTATTTGATAATGTCAATTGTTAATTGGACGTATCAAACCGGAATTTTAGAGACAATTAATGAAAGGGTTAAACTTTTATTTCCAAAAAGTTTTACAAAAAGTGATAGTTCATGTAATAAACGCGCTAGCAGCAGTAAAAATTAATGTTATAGACAACAAGCCCATCGAAAATTTTCAAGGGGTCATTTGACCCAGCATGAATTACTTATAAATCAATATTACCACATACGAGTATAAGCTAAACCTAAAGCTAAAGTATATAGGTTATACAAAAAAAAATTAACATCGAACTAATGCCGCATAAAAATAGCAATACCGGAAGCCAGGAAAATTTTTGAATTTATGAAAAGTTTCGGATCGATACATAGATAAGTTTTAAAGAGACGCCGTTCGTACTTGCTTATACAGGGGTTAGGAATACAGGGTGCAACCCTCTATTTGTAAGTAGCGTATGGGGGGTGATTTGAACCAACATCAAATTCACTCATTTTAATTCTATTTTATAAAATAATGACATTTTTGGCCATGCCGAAATTTTCACAATTTATTTCTTTGTTTTTTAATACGAATTTTTAATTTGTAGCATTAATTATAACCGGCCATGATTTAGTACGATATTTTTTGGTTATATTTTATCAAAAAAGTGGTTGCCGTACAGGAATTAATGATCTTATCGACAAAAAATAATATTCAATTCCAGAATACAAGTAATTATTTATAAACTTTTGCATTAAGCATAATTTTCAGACGACACAATTGCTAAAAATTGCCTGTATCAGCAGAGACGTACGGTGTCACTACTGTAGTAAATCACTAAAAACTGGGCCAAAATTTTCAGAAAATCAAAAATTTTCCTGACTTCCGGTATTGCTATTTTTGTACCTTTTAGTTCGAGGTTCATTTTTTTTTTGTATAACCTATTCTTTAAAAATGCCGTACAAAAATGTTTTGCTGAAAACCACCTCCCTTGGTGGACAGGTTTAGCTTATCTCTGTACTCACTTCTACCAACAACAATTGACGACATAGTTGCCAGGCTGATATTCTAAATAGAGTTTTATATATTTAATTATTGCCACATCTACGTATTATAACTGCAAATTTATGCATTTTGAAAATAGGTTTAGTTTAAATTAAATTATTATTTATTACAAATATGGGCACTCCTTATTTATAGAATAAAAATTGACCGTGTTAGAACATGGTTGGCTTTCATGAAATATGAATTAAAGCATAATTGTTGATACTAATAAAGGGCCTTAACAAAACTGGAAACACATCGATCTAGTTGCTATGTTGTACATAGAAAAGTATCAGTATCTATCTGTTACAGAAATTACTTCAAAATAATAATATTCTGTATAGCGTGTATGATATTTCTATTAATTTCGCTTTCCTGGAACTATATCAAACTTGCTACGTTAAAGTGTCTCGAAATACGATCACTACAATAAAAGTGTCAATATATATCGGTTAAACTGCTTTAAAATAATAACATCAAAGTGCCTGTGATTTAGTTGCATTTCCATGAAATTAGTTTGCTCGGGACGGCATATATCAAACTTGCGATGTTAAAGTGTTTCGAAGTACAGTCGTTATGACGAAAGTTAACGTTAGTTCCACTCGCTAAATCGTACACAATTCATGCTTTATAGGCAGCACAGTGTGCGGAATGTATATGTGCATAACTTATTGTGCAGTTCAGTGGTACTTCTGCGAAGTTTTCGAATCTTCAAAGAACTGCCCCGGCAAATTGAAATATAACTTCGCGATATTATTATGACATAAACATCAAAGTGTTACTGAAAGCACTATTAATCTCGGAAAGATTAGCGGTTTATCGTGCTATAAAACAAATTATAAAACAATAGGTATTAGATCGATTAGACATTTCACTAATATATGAAATTAAAATAATAAAATTCCAATAGAGATTTTACCAACTCAAACCTTTTCGACTTATCACGTAAAACAGTGAATTTACCTATATTTTAAAATGTTGATGTTAGATCTGGCGACCGAGCTGGCCACCACGGCAGTCCGTTTGTTCTAATCCATCTTTCAGGATACATTATATTTAGTATAACGGTCATTTATTGTTCCTTGAACAATTTAACAATTAAATACCTATTTCAAATATGACATCAGACATTTATACTGAACTTATTTCGATTTTCTGTCCACTAAGTTGTATTGTATATTTAGTATTTATGATAGTTATGAATTCTGATTTATAATATTTTATTATTTTAAAGAACCAAATTCATTGGTTCTGTATTAAATATTGTTATGAATTTAAAAAATCTTTAACTTGATTTTGCGATACTACTGAATTATAGAAGTACAGAACACAATTTGCTTAAAACTGAAGCATGATACGGAAAAACAGCTTGTTAAAGTTCCTTCGAAAGAAATCTACAATTTGCTTTGGAAAAGTTCCACAAAATAATTTTTCAATCCCGGTTAATTTTATGTGAAGCACCATGTATACATCTACGCAACATAAGCTTATATTTCTGTGACTGCCATTAGTTAAAATAATCGGTCTGATATCTTGGAATGGATTCAAATAGCTTTCCTCTCATAACATTCTAAGAGCAAATAGAGGCAAAGACAAATGTTTGGTACAAGTGATAAAGTCGAATCATATTTTACTTTAA